TCTCCCCCCTCCTCTTTTCAAAAAATAGATGGACTAGTCCTGGCAAACTGCCATCGTTGCGCGTGACGCAAACGTTATTTTTATATATATAAATAAATATGCCGTTTTCAAAATAAATTTATGCAAACCGACACACCTGATGATGACCGTTTGAGTTATGGTCGAAACGTCGTGAGAATTTTTTATTGTTTTATATATATTTTGTTATTTTGTTGTTTCTCTTCAACGTGACTTTACCGAAAAAACTAAGAATATGTAAGCGTTCTGTTATGCAATAGACAAAACGTTTAATCTCCTCATTAGATAAAGTATATTGACTAACCGACTCGCAGACAAAAAAAAAGAGCTTTGAGAATTTGTGACACTTTCTGAGGTAATTAAAGAACACCCATTACATTATCTCGTCATTTGCAACACGCCTAACAAGAGCACGGACAGGCGACTAACGAATGCATGCAATTAATGATGATGTGCATGTAGAGGACCTTCCAGCAAGCTTACCACATATACTAATTTCATTAAATCCAAATGTTCTTGGTTCTTTCGGTAAAGTCACGTGGAAGGGAAACAAATGTTCTTGCTGTTGGTTTTCACACCTGATGATGACTGTACTCTTTGGTTCTATTCGGTAAAAGTCACGTAGGTAAAAAATACCAAAATTCACTACGTTTCGGCCACAACAACACTTGTGTTGTGGCCGAAACGTAGTGATTTTTGTTATTTTTTTACCTACGTGACTTTACCGAATAGAACCAAAGAGTATGGATCCTTGCAGTCACGAAAGCTTCAAATCTAGAACTGATGATGACTGCTTGTGTTGCAGTCGAAACGTCGTGAGAATTTTATTGTTTTATATATATTTCATTATTTTATTGTTTCCCTTCAACGTGACTTTACCGAAAGAACCAAGAATATGAATCACTGCAGTCACGAAAGCTTTAAATCAAAATTAAATCCACATGTTCAGAGCATTACAGGTGAAAATGGTTAATTATGAGCGGTAATCATCGCGGTTGGCATTGTGGTAACGGCAGGGAGAGAAAAAAAAAACCTCAATTCAAGAGCCTAATGTGTGGTAATTCATTATTCCCCTCCCCCTCCGCTGTCTTGACCCAAGATGAAAATTGATCAGGTTTTTACGGCGGCAATTAAACCGCCTCGCAATAGGTGACCCGGTGTTGATGCACGTCCGTCTTCAAAAGGGACCGGCGTGAAACATTCACGTGCTAAAATTACATTTATAGAAAGTGGGCAGCGGGTGGAAGAAATAAAAAAACACCAACTGAAACGCGTGCAGCATTTTGTAATTGTCGTCGATAGCGAGGGCCCCCCCCCCTGCCCCCCCCCCCTCCCGCAGGAGGCGGCTGTGGGCCACGAGGCGCTCTGGTTGGTTTATTTATCGGCAGTGGTCTCGGGCACTCATTTAAATAGTTTTTTGTCATCGTCGTCGTCGAGAGTAAATGCTTACGATGAGAGGAAGAATTATACTCGGACCGTGTTCGCTCGACGGAGAGCCGGCTCACTGCGTACTCGTCTAACCTTAGTGCCCTTCCCACCTGTCATACCATTACATCCATTGCGGTAAACCCCCCTCAATTCTGCACGTCATGTACACGTGCCCACGAGCAGCACGATAATCCACATTAGACAAACACAAAACCACGTAAACACATTTAAAATGGTCTATATTCTTCATGTTTTTTTTGGGGATTGTTATTTGTTGTAAATTGCTTACCCGACGCTACTGGACGTCTGTGAAAAATAGCGTCATAACTCATTGGATTCCTCCTTCAGTCTAAATTAAGATTCTGATTCTGATGTAATTACTATCAATTGATTATTTACGCAATGTAAAACCGCCATGCCTTATTATTTTGCCTTGATAATTTTTGTTCAACAATAAACTGGTGACCTGGCATAGGAATGTGGAATTTTCCGCCAATTTGCTCAGCGCTACAAGTGAAGACTGAGAACCCATGACCATGGTGGGATTGGGGGGGGGGGGGGGGGGGAGGGAAAAATACGTATTTATTTAGTTGTATTTTGATTTAAAGCTTTCGTGACTGCAGGATTCTTATTCTTGGTTCTTTCGGTAAAGTCACGTAGAAGGGAAAAAATAATAAAAATATAAAACAATAAAATTCTCACGACATTTCAACTGCAACACAAGCAATCATCATCAGGTGTGAAAACCACAGCAAGAAAATTTTAACAAAATTTTAACAAATTTTCTTGCTGTGGTTTCGAAACGTCGTGAGAATTTTATTGTTTGATATTTTTTTTATTATTTTATTATTTGGTTGCGTTTAACTTGATTTTTGCCAAGACTTTTTCCGGCCACTGCAGTCGAGCCATCGAGCCCATGGTTCAGTGGGGAGTGAAATTGACCCCCAGGCGATCCAAATGCCCTCTTGTTGTCCATGCGGTGCTCCTGCACTCACGCCCTGCAGAGTGCAGAGTACAAAGCCAACGCATAAGCAAGAGCACTGGTCGGTACGATAAAACTTACATAAGGAATAGCAGGATTCCGACTGCGACCCACTGATTAAAAGAATACTGATGACCTGCTCTGGCATGACTCACTCAAGCAAGCTGCAATGTCTGCTATTGGGGGAATGACGGTTAACACTGTTTACTGTTTCAAATTTATTTTGATAATTTGCTGCAGCTTTTCTAAAATAAAAAGACAAAGTAATTTGAGAATAGGTTTCCCCTTTTTTCTGGCAACAAAACAGCAGTGTGAAGATGTTAAAACACCAAACGGAAACCTTTAACGCGGAATCATCTCTGCATTAACCACAATACTTGTGGTCAGAATGCAAACAAGAAACACTGATAATATATGTGGCATTGTCTTTGAAACTGTTTGGTCCACACCAGAGACAGCTTTCTTTGGAGCCTCGTCTCAAACGGTGTTAGACCAGAGAACGCCAAAAGGCGTACACAGCACAAAGACAACGTCACTATCAGAGTAATGAGAGCTCGGGGTGAGCAGCTACACAATGGGGCCTCCTTTGCCAGTACCAAAATATGAGAATAGGTTTTCCCCTTTCTTCTGGCAACAAAAATGTTTCAGTTTGGTGTTTTAACATCTTAACACCTGTTTTGTTGCCAGAAAAAAGGGGAAAGCCTATTCTCATATTTTGGCACTGGCAAAGGAGGCCCCATGACAAGGACATTTCTAGCACAAATGAGCACTGAGGCGGTTGCCCATCTATTTAGAGCCCTGAGCAAGTGGCGGAAATTCCCCATTCCTCTGGTGGGGGCAAGGCTATCCCATAGGACAACCACTTTAAGCTTCCCCTACAAAATTGGTCAACCCCCAAAGCAGGGTTTGAACTCTGAAACTTCAGGATTCGCAAGCTGCTCTTGCTGCTGCCACCGAGCTAGCCGGCCGGGGCCGTGTTGAACGATGCCCATCGCGGAAACGGCACTGGAATGAGACCAAAGGCCTCCCCGCGCATCAAGTGGCACCGTGGTGATGATGATATTCGCACCGTGTTTATAAACTATTTGCCTATGCATGACGTGCCATTAGAATTAAAACGTTTGAAAGTACTCACCCCCATGCGGTCATCTAGAAAACAGGCCAGCTTGAGAAAGCCTGCCGCCGATAATCTTATAATGCTCGGCAACAATTCGTCTGCATTAGCATCGGCCTAACCGGCAAATGTTGCGGGTGCACAGCACGTGAGGTTTTTTTTGTTCAAAAAGAATTACGAATACTAGGGTTTTCCTTTCAGCCACCCACGTGCGCTTCACCGTGGAGAGTCACGTGGGCTGCCCCCTGTGCTTGTATTATTCATTCACACGCCCGATTCACTCTGTCGTGCAGTCATCAAAAGCGAGGCTCTGTGTGTGTATTAGCTCAAAACAGCGGGAGCTAAGGGTTATTTTATATTGAATTTTTAAAATACACCATTAATTTTTCAATGAGCCACACTGCCATGGGTGCAGTGGCAGCATCTCCATCTGAGCTCGCCTTCTATTGACACAACTGCTAAGCTAACGGTGTGGGCTAGGCTAGGCGCGAGTGCGGTGAAACAAGAGAATTGAATCATGCTGCAAGCGGAATGAGAGTGGGGTGTTGTGTGCGAGTGATAAAGAAGTTCCATTTTTACAGTTACACACACGAACACTCACACACATATATACAAAGATAAAGATCTTATTTGTTCATGGTGTGTTGTGGCCTGCACTGTGCCATACAACGACAAAGATCCTCCATGTAGCTTTTAAGAAAATGTTCAGCAAAGTGCTGTTCGCGAGCACCTTTAAAGGCCAGCACAGCATACAAATAGGTGGGTGGTCACCACCAGTCCAATTTCATCTGCTGGAAGCGATAGTAAAAAAAATGGACATTATTCTTTAAAATATTCCCTGCCTCTGTTAACCCATCAGTAAAAATTGGTACTCCACAATAAATTGATCGGCAGGACACGTACGGTGGGGTGAAGTTTGGGTACTCTCACCTCTTCCAAGGAGTCTGGCCAATGTGGCAGAGCAGGTCAAATACCCTCTAAGAGAGGCTCTCCAGAGCGGTCTCCAGTGGAGGGCCTTCTACAAATAGTGGCCTGAGAAAGCAATTGTAGGACTGCACCTTTACCCATTTATCGCTTCAACTGAGAGTTCGATTCAGAAATCGAGAGCTCAGTTTGCGACAAAAACCACAGGAGACGCAGCAGCCCTCGAGACCGGCGTTGCGAGCACCTTCCCCACGTTGTGAACGCTGACCGGCGACGCGGGGCGCCCAACGCGGACAGCACGACGCTCGCGCGCGGGTGGACCAGGGTGGACCAGGGTGGACCAGGGTGGACCAGGGTGGACCAGGGTGGACCAGGGTGGACCAGGGTGGACCAGGGTGGCGCCGGCGATCGCGCGGTCCGCTTCGCGAGCGTACCAGGGTGGCACCGGCACGAGCGTACCAGGGTTGCATTGCTACGAGCGTACCCGGGTGGCGCCGGCGCAAGTGTACCCATGTGACATCGGTACGAGCGTACCAGGGTGGCGCCGGCGCCGGCGCCCGCGCGGTCTGCGTCGCGCGCGGGGCTGCGCGGCGTGAACTTGGGCGTGGAGCGGCCACTGACGGGCGGCGAAGAGCTGGCGAGCGACGACCCCGTGAGCGACACGGGCAGTGACGTCCCCCCCGCCGCCCCCGTCGCGCTGCTGCGGAGCCGCGCCAGGCTGAGGCTGTCGAGACTCCCGCTGCCCACACGTGACTCGATCTCCTCCGCGCGCTGCTCCGTCGACTCCTTCTCCTCCTGGATCAGCCTGGGCGAACGCGCGACGTTTTTTTGCGGGAAGAGCGTCAATGCTGCCGTAGGATAACATTTAGAATCAACATGCATTTGTGGCCCAGGTCACTTGTGAAAAAGAGCTGTATAGATGAGTGGGCCTTATCTGGTAAAATTAAAAAAAAAGTTCTTTATTTAGTTCGTGAGTTGGGATACTATGCCGATCGATAAGTGGTGTACCCATTGATATTGCTGGGAGAACGGGGGGGGGTCTTACAATGTAAATGGAAACGAACACGTTTCCCTGAGGTTTGATTCGTTGATTGATATCAAACACCATAAACAATAATTATATCCTAATTTTATTTTATGGAATTTCGAGGAGCCGCATTGCAAAATACCGTTTCTGACAATGTCACAATCTTCTGCCGTGTGTGTCTCTCTCTCTCACTGCTCCAGAGAAGAGACAAAGGGCCATTTCCAATGTCCGTGAAAGCTTTGGATGGTGGATTGCACCACATAATATGAGTCATGATGTCTGAATGTCCACAATGCTATCCGCACAAATCAACCTTGGCATTTCCGCTGGAGCCAAAGCAGGGGCATAAACGACCCTCTCAGAATACGTAACATTGGTATATTCACAATTTTCTCAAATATGGAAAGATGAAATGTTACACCGGACGAGACGGTACCAACGGTGTCGTTTTTGCCACCCGGAGGCTGGGATTGCTGATTGCTTGGTGGCAAAATGGGGATTCTGCCCTGATTTTAATGTGAATTTGTTGAGCACTAAGCTGTTAGCTACACACTTGAGCCCGAGTCAAAAAGAATACTTTGGCCTTGCTCTGTGTACTGAACAGATTTCAATCCCTTTATGTACCAGGATTAAAACAATTGCTTTTCCTATTCCATCTGTCATTTTAAAGGGCCAACATCTACGATGATACGTAGACAGACAGCTTTAATCACCATTAAAATTATTATTTATAAAAAATATGGATTTATGTATCTACATGCAGCCACTAAAATGGATTAGATTTTAATGCATGGGTAATCATATTCATTATTTGCACAGCATCGGCACAACAGAACAGATGGATTTTTTTAATGGAATCAGTAAAACTCGGTGAACACAATGAACTGCATTTCATAAAAGAACAGTTAGATTTTCAAGTAATACCTGTACATAAATTACAATCTAAATTTTGCATTGCGAATAACTTAAAAAATAATTAGGTCATTATATTCCAGATATCAACGATTGTTCAAAATGCTTTCCACAATTTCACAATGTTAGCGCTTCCACGGATGTTTACATTTTCTTTTCCTTCGGGATTGCACAAATCCATGCTAAATCAGGGCTAAAACTCGTTTGGCACAGCTGCGGACGAGGGTTGACGCTGCTCTGCGTGCGAGTGGCTCATGGGCAGCTCGGTGCATTGCCCCATTAATAATTTCTCGAGGATCAGCGCGGATCCCCGGTGTTAGATGCCCGGCATGATTAACGCGTGGGATCGTCATCAGTCTGCCACGTTCGGTGCAGGTTTGCGGGGAAAATTAATACAACACGAGCAATGATGTTTCGCTGTGTAAAACGTGCACGGTTTTAAAATATACTGGTTTAGTTTTGAATTTCACTCAATTATAATGATGTTGTAAAAACATTTTTTTGTCTGGCCAAAAAGTGATATGTCAGTTGTCAGCGAGTAAGTTTCCTGACCAACTGATAGAGTATCACTTGGCAAGCTAAGTAAGTGCAACGTCAGCCTGTCAGTTTAAATATCGGCCAGGGAGTCAACTCAGCGCATTGTCCATCCAGGGTCAATGAAATTACTATTACTTTGTCAGACGTCAACAGTGGTTCCCCTGTGGAAAGAGTAACATCTTTTATATATAAAAAAAGATGAACCCTGTCACATGCTTCTTTGCCGAGGGCATTGTCCATTCTTTACATAATCCAAGACAGAAACAAAATGAACTGGAGCAGATATATTTTGAAGATCTTGCCAACATAATTCAACACAAATGATGTATTAACATGATTGAATATGGTGCCATGTCCAAACTTTGTAAATTTCTGCGCCATCAATCCAACCCCATGCTACCCATGCCAGGCAGATTAAGAACTTTGACGTGGCTTTGCTGCGATGACACAGCACTGTGGATGGCCAGATTTAAAATGCTGCCATGTCCACAGGACAAATCAATTATTTCCCTCCCACTAGCAAGCACATCAGCACTGCAGTCTCAATGTCTTGCAGCGGGATCAGGATACACATTCCTATCAGCTTGTGAGCAGCAGGCCCCATCCAGGGTTTCCTCTGCAAGAGATTACGCCGGCTATGCATTACGACGCGCTACACAAAATCACAACAATCCGTACAATCCTCTTAGTCGCTGTTCAACAGGTTTTGACTTATTTCTTCTACAAGCTTAAACCACTTGGGTTTTTTTGAATGTCACTTCATCAACATCAGCCATTATCTAATCCATTGCAGACTGTTCAGAAATTAAGTGGGCTTAGGGAGGTATGGTGGCTGATAAGATTATTAATTCGTGCAATTTAAATTATGTCAATAAATGTATTAACAGATCAAGGTCAAGAGGTCACCAAGGTCCACTGTCACTGTGGAGTTTTCTACTACCTGGCTTAAGGTCTTCCCCCTGGTCAGTGCCTTCTGGGTACCACTCCAATGCCTGTCTTAGCAACGTACTCTTCTACATCCTGCACATGTGCCCCACCCAACGTGAGCTCCGTTTCCTTATTATACTGACAATGCATCCTTGGCATATGCTTGTCTGCGCTTCCACTAAATAGCGATTGGTAATATAATCATTCGTACTCAAATACACCTGCATGCCTATCAGTTCAATGCTCATGTACTTCCTAGAAAGAAGAAAGATCCCCCGTATAGCCTCGAATAGACTGTTGGAACAAGTTCTGTCCACGAGCACCTGTGAAGGCCGGCATGGTGCATGAGGGGGCACTGTGGCACAACGCCCAGCCACCTTTGTCTTGCCAATGCACCAGGTACTCATGTCAGAGTCAAATTATGGGAGGCCCACAACTTCTGCAGACATTTGTCACCAACATTAGGGGCCGTCCATAAATGACGTCACGCGATTTTGGACGATTTTTGACCCCTCCCCCCTTCGTCACACGGCGTCACAAAAAGTCAGACCCCCCCCCTCAAATATGACGTCACAAAGCTCTGCCCCCCCCCCACAAATAAATATAAAACATGCTTCAAATCGCTTTAAACTACTGTCACTATAGTGCATATTTAATGTGGCGCTACACTCTGATGTTGTAGGAGAAAAATGTATTAAAAAGTCTATTTAAGTAGAACGTGTTGTCTATTTATTTAAAGTTGCGCATTTTGATGTGACGTCACATTTCTAAACCCCGCCCCCTCGTCACACATCGTCACAAATGTCTCACCCCCCCCACCCCTAGGTGCGTGATGTAATTTATGGACGGCCCCTTAGCAGAGTGCAAGAAATGAACTCAGGTTGCGGGGTTAATAGCGCAGAGTACTAAACAATACACTACTCCTCCCAACACTACTGTACTTCATATGGTCACGTGTGCACTGACACATGGCTACGTCAAGAAAAGTCAAAACAGAAAGTCCATCTTCAAGCCTCTATCATGCTTGAGCCAGCATTCTTTACAGAGCTCTGTAAGCAACATATGGCACTCTGATCGAAGCAAAATCCCTATCGATGCGTCTCGCAAGATGCAAAGATGTCAGTCAAGCCAACCATAACACAGCTGCTCGATGTTAAAGTGTTGTAAAAAGAAACAACAATGAAATATCTATTTAAAGTTTAATGTCTTTAACACATGCCACAGTGGTGATCATAATGAATTACAAACATGCCTTTGGCAACATTTTGATAGCCTGCGAGTCACCATTGCTTTCCAATTCACACCCCAAGAATACGAACAGATGATTCATAGTTGAGATACCACAGACTGGTTTGAAATAATCTACAATTATGAATATTACAGAGTTCATAGTTTAAATGCTGGTTAGTGAAAGCAGTTCAGAATAACACACTATCAGACGTCATCATGCTCCTTCACTCAATGCTATGTGATTGCTCTGCTGTCATCTGCCTGCAAGCGAAGCTAAAATTTGTTGCACATTGCACTCTTACAGTAGCAGGAAACGTTAAGAAATCAAATTAGGGAACATGGGCCTCTTAACATAACCCTATTTTTTTTTTATAAATGCATGTTTTTAGAAGGCATATTAAACTATATTTATAAACTTATCTGAAGCAATGTCACTTTGCTTTTGATTTTTTTTTTCATTTAACAAAAGAAGAGTTGTGCAAGCTTATACGAAGCGTGCAAACAAATTGATGCGACTGAACAGTCCTTTAAATTTAGAACTACTCTTGGAGATTTGGCATATTCTTCTTGGCAGTCTCCTCATATCTATATAAAACAAAGGTCAAAGAAACAAACACAGATTTTTCTGACCAACATGGAACACTGCCCATGCAGCTTCGGCCCCCTCTGGGGAGAGAGAAAAAATCCCTCGGCGAGCGACTCCTGGGAAATTCATTTAAGGAAACCGCATTCAGGGTTTGCATTTATTCCCTGGCTCCAATTTGTGAGAAAATGTCACAATTAGGGCCCCCCCTTCCTTGCACATTTGTGAGTGAAAGCAATCGTGAATGTTTTCCCCGGCAGGGGCCAGTGAAATGTCACCAAGTCTTGACTGATGCTTTTGCTTTATGGGTGCATGAGATTGCATGGTGGATAACATGTCCAAACATGTAAATACATGGTCAGAATATTTGATGCAAGCTATATATCTGTAGCTGATGTATGCAGGCCCTTTGGTATGAGACCTGCTTTGTAATAAACGGTAAAGGTTCAGCCGTGTAATTCAATTCTCTTGCCGCCACTGGCAGAAGGGCCTCCACTGAAGAGAGCTGTAGAGAGCTCCCCTCGAGGTCACTGGCTTTTCTCTTCTACACTGGCTAGACATCTAGGAATATGTCAGAGTACCCACATTTGACCTCACCACACGTGACCTGACAGTAAAAACAATGTTGGCGTACCCATTTATTTTTGGGAGAAATCCATGCTCAGAATGACACTGAGAGACAGAAAGAAGAGCATGATGCATCAAAGTAATCATGCATATCACAGACATCGTAGGGACACTTCAGAAAGGTTGGCTTGGGCAGGACATATTTCTAAGGGGTGATGGCTCTTGGACAAAGCTGAAGACGGATTGGCAGCCAAAGGAGGGAGCATGCCCAATAAGCCAACAACCATGGAGATGGGGTGATAAGATAATGGTTCATATGCAGAAGATCGATGGATTTATTGCTTCATGAGACTGTAAAGGGAGACAAAGACTTGGGGCGTGGGGCTTCATCTAGCAGTGGCGGGATAAAGTCTGATTGTGACGATTGATTTTATCCACCCTTGAGTGATCATGTTCTCAGTCAAACGCCAACCGGGATTGAAATGCAGGCTAGGTGCTCTGACCAGAGGGGCCACGTGTACAATGCACGTGTGCGAGCGAGCGAGCGAACGAGGGAGCGTGAGTGCGTGCGGGCAGCCTCGGCGGGACCGTGCTACCTGATCTCGTTGTTGATCGCGTCGAGCTGCTCCTGCAGCATGAGAGCGAGCGTCTGCGCATCCGAGTGGCCGCTGGGCGACAGGAGGTCGGCCGAGCTAAAGATTGTCTCGCGGTCGTCTTCCTGGTCGGACGCCTCCGTCTCGCTCTCGAAGGCCTGGGCGACGCTGGCCAGCACGCCCGCTTGCTGCATACGCTGCCACTCCTGCTCATTCAGCGTTTGTACCTGGGTACACAGACAGGGCCATATTGGGCGTCATGGGGGCCTAGGCCCGTTGTAGTTCTGAGGGGCCCATTATTTTGTATATTCAATCTCCTGTCTTTTGCTGTTTAACTTTCACCAATGCCCAATGGCAAATACTCGATTTTTGCTTTGGGTAATTCAGTTCTCGTTTTTAAATGTAAAATATGAATTGTGAAGATAAATCACGGTAAAAGTGGAGAAATTATCTTAATTTTGGCAGATAACTTGTCGTAATATATGTAGTGATGGCATGGCTTCCATGAACTAATTACCTATGTGACGTATCACAGACATATTACTGCATTTATACCATTATGAAGCTGTATATATATTTTGGGGTTCCCTCAAAAATGCACGGGTCCATGGGCTGCAAACCCTAAACCCACTCTGTTAATGTGGCCCTCTACATGGGCGTGAAATGGAGGAATGAAGTGAGGCCGAGATTTGTGGATGACCATGGGTTTACATAATGCGCAGACAAGTATCACGCATTTGATATAATTTGTAAGATCTTTGGCTCAACGTACGTGCATCTGCAAGTTTGTTTTGGGTGTTGCGCATTGAGATCGATACTTTGTGATGTGAAACAGCTTAATACAATTTCCCCTTGATTTTCTTATCTCCGTCATTGTAAGAGAGACATTTTCACCGAAGGTGTTTGATGTAACTGGCCATGCTGCTGCAAATTGAACTGCACATTCAGTTGTGCACTGCACATTCTCATCAATACAGCGCAACCCATTTTTAGGTATCCCACTGACTTGTAATGACCCCTCCTATTTTATTTTCAACAGATGATTGGACTTTGTGAAAGTGATGGCTCCATGCCTGGGAAAAGCGAATTATGAGAGTTATTAAATAATTCGTACGTGTATTGAGATCGGTGCTGAACAAAAGTTTCTCTGCAAATTCTCTCTGTTATATTTTAGTGTATAATAAAAATGATGACGATTACGGCCTAAACTTTTCTGGAGCCAAGCAATCCATGAATGACTCAATGTATGCAATTGTCGCAGCATGTTATAGCATTATAGAATAGAATATAGCAAAGCAGAGGGAAGAACTTACAGGAGTGTTAGAGTCCAGACAGAGTCAGCAATTCAGACATTAGAGAGACAACATTGGTGAACAACAATAAATAATACGGTAGAACATTACAAATGTTGCATTATTTTGTAAAAAGCAATATAACCTGAAACAAGGATATGTTTTAATATTTTAAACATTCATATACTGCTAAGTTTTCATTTATTTTAATGAAATACCTTGCATTTCCTGCCTTAAGGATATAATTTGGGGAAACGGTAAACAACATTTAATTTCTTTGTTTAAATATTTTAAACACTCTAAAACAGTTAACAGAGTGGAGTGGTGGTCCAGTGGTTTGCACACTCCTGCTTTGAACTAAGCAACCCAAGTACAATTCCCAGCCATGGCTAATATCAGAGGCGAGAGATATCTGAACTGGTGCTGATCCTGGTCCTGCCCCGCCATCGCCCCCAATCACCAAACCGCACCGACCAGCATGGTGGTGTACGGTCATACAACCTCCCATTATCAATATCGTATGGGAAAGCTTTGATCTAACACTGGATTGACAAAGAGCTGGATGTACTTAATCATGTTATTGAACATTTTAACAATGACTCAATCTTGCAATACTATGCCTAACTCTCTCTCTCACCGGCATTCGTTGCAATGAGAATATAAAAGCACCACTTAGTTAAGATGTACATTTAACATTTTTTGCTTTGGCTTGTGGTGATGCATTGTAAATGGCGACACTTTAGCTGTGAATTTATGGCCATCCTCAACTGTTTCCCACTACCGCCCCGTTGCCACCACGTGCTTACTTGACCTCTGACCCCTCCCAGCGTACCTTGCCCGGTTCATCTCGGAGTGCTGACAGGCGTCCCTTCTGGCGGCGCAGCACCGCTGAGCTTCCAAAGGGGTCTCCTGGTGCCTCCAGAATAACTGATGAGCCCAGTGAGTAGCGAATATCTGATGTGCTACCAAGGTGTGACCTTCAAACAAAGGAAAGAGGACAAAAATCTCCACACCTGACACCGAACAGAAGGAATACAATCACTAAAAAACACCACTCAAATATTAAAAAATATATATAAAATAAACATAAATTATTAATTGGACCTTATTCGGATACAACATCGGATTCTCAAAGAGGATTTTGAAGAACAATTGGTGGGACCTTGACCTGCTTAGAGGACGCTCACCTACCGCCAGTGAGGTCAAAGGCTGCCTTTCAAAGCAGGGTTCAACCAAGGGGCATACATCACCGGCTAGACAATGCTTAAAGTGCCATAGCCACCCAATTGGCGTATGGCATTGGGTCAGCTTTAAAGGTGCACACATATCCACCGTCACTGTCTTCAGCGTGGACGTTCATTTTAAAGCAGTCTGCCACTCATTCTTTGATAGCAAGCACCGGCTTTGAAAATTAATAAAACAAGCCCACTACGACTCTTCCTGTTCAGTTCACATATCTAAAGCCCACATTGAGAGGATATGGAATGCGGTCTCTATGAGAATTAATTTCTGGACAAGGTTATCCTTGGACGTCTTTGCAGCCAGATGGATCGCCTACTATTGTAGTTGGGGCGTGCGCCACGGAGCCAGATGGAATGAGAATCTTGGTAAAAACTCGATGACATCCATCTGGTAATGTCGTGGAACATTACAAAAGCATGCACGTCGCTACAAGGTGGGCATTAAAGGGTTTGTGACAATTTGCAAGAGTCGTAACTGCATGCCATTGACATGAAAGCAGCTCAAAATGGCAGTCAACCAAAAAATCTCTAAGACCAAAAAAATATACAATTGCAAATAAAATACACATGAAATTATTAGATTGATCAATTATCTTTCTGAATGTATGCTTTGACTTCTTATTTGAAATATAAAATGTTGTAATAATTATGAATGTATGCATGCTTGTTATCAAACATATTTGATTGCTTTCCCCGCAAACAATGGAGTGGATTTTCCAATCGCAGATTTTATATTGGACCGCACGCAATCCTCAAGTCGCGTAATTAACTTTTCTTGGACACAATGAAAATACTGTCGCTTATCTGATGCCTGTAAGCTGCAGGTTACAAATGTAACAAATGTATTCAAATATTAACGATGGAAGACGATCATGAAACAATTTCAAGCATTTTTCTGTCATTTTGGACAAGCACGCCCAGGGGTGCATACGCTCACTACACAATGCAGAGCTCTCCCCTGCTCCCCCCCCCCTCCCCACAGCACATTTGCAAAAAAATTACCGAGATTTATCGGAAAGTTTTAGAGCCAAACAGAGCAACAGCATTTAGTTACGGTGATAATGTTATTACTTTAAGCGGTTCAGGGGCAGGAGAGCTGCCGAAGAATATACGATCAGAAATTGTATATAAATAATACCTGAGCTGCACGGGAAATTATATGGTGCTCAGAGCAATGGCACTCTATGTCTAAATTGTATGCTAACACCAAGTTAAATAAAAGGCTTTTCGTATAATGCACGAACGAAGTCGTCGGCATAGGCTCTGGGTGGTGGAAAGTTCTGTCTGCAGCAACTTGAGCGCTGTACACGGAACGGGGCTGGTCGTTTGGTAATGAACCATCACGAATGTGGGCTTATATTGGGCAATGCCATAAGTAACCCTAATGACCACATCACCCGCAATGTGCCCGATCTGGCTACATCTCGGAAGCTAAGCAGGTTTGAAAGTGGATGGTACTTGTGTAGTGACATAGAATGGGTCACTACGGCGCGTAGCGCTGGTTACTGGTAGAGAGCAGGATCGTGGGTGTAATAGCCCGGTCTACCAGCAGGGCAGGTGAAGTGTGCCACTGGAGCGCGCAGCCCCGGTTGCTGGCAGTGAAGGGCATTTGAGGATACAGCGGCCGCTCTGCCAGTAGGGCACGTGACAGGCACGGATGTATGGTAAAGGTGACAGAGGGGACACGTGGGGCAGAGCCCAGAATCTTCTGGTAGGTTCCAGAAGGGGGCGTGGCCGAGGGCGGAGCCAGACCACGCTGGGGAGGATAAAAGGGATGCCGCGACGCTGGGTCGGGGCTGCTGCGGTTTGGGAATGGAACCCGTCGTCTTTACAAGTCTTCGTCCCCGTGTTCACCTCCTCGTCGGTGTTGGGTCAGGCAGTGTGCCGGCTGTCCTGACCCGTATATAGTTATCCCCTGTACTATGGAAGGTGTAGAATAAACGTGTATGCCTCCTACTATTAGTGTCTCTGAAATGACTCGCTACACTTGTACAAGTGAGTAAATGCCATGCAAAACAGGTGTTATAGGCTGCTGCATGGGGGCCCTGTCATGGGGCAGCAGATGGCAGTGCATCAACTAGCATTGTTGAACTGGACGTCTATCCACTCAGGTCTATGCTCCCCGCCTTCACCAACCCGCACTGACCAGCTTGGTGAAATATGGTCAAACAACCCCCACGACCCTCCCGGACCCCCCCCCCCCCCCTAATGGTGTTGGTTGAAAGGCCATCATCCAGCAGTGGACTGACAAAGGGCTGCACATGTACAGTATATGAAGTACACAGGATTGGCACAATGTACAGTGAAACGTGTGAAAATGTAGTGCCTTTAACACCCTTTACGAATATTACACCTCACCCATCTGACACTTTTATTTAAAAACACAAAGTTTATCTCTGTGCAGGCAAAGTGTGGGGTGGCACTAGCTCCGCTAACGGTTCAGAGGCGGCAGTGGAAATTCCAGATTTCTATGGCGATGGCCATTAAACAACTGAACATTTTTATTTCGTTCATTATACAAACCACGGTTTTATAATTAAATAAAAAAAAACACACGTATTAAATTAACCATTTACGACATCATTACGACTCGTTTCTTCACGAGGTGTTGTTTTTTTTCTTTTACAAAGGTTCGCACACGAGGCAGAAATATTGGTTGTGTTTGAAGTAGAAATGTTGTGAATGATGTTCACAATCTTTCTGTTATTGCCCTGTCATTTGAACCATTGGTACCAAGTAGAAAGGATCGGGATGGCAACCGAGCGAGACTGACAATTGCATAATTTTGCTGTTTTAGATTTTTCCCAAACATTATTAAATGAGTGCCACTGAAATATCCATTAAGAACTCTTGAAGGAACAGTACATGACCCCGTGTGTAAGATAATGGCCCTGTGAATGGTGATATCACAAAACTGCTTTAAAATACACAATAGGCAAAGGTTCCAAAAACCCTTTAGTTATTCACACACCATGCTGCAGGGAAATGATGATTCCAACTTGTAACGTGCCGCACGGTATTCCGCTCACTCTCGCAGAGCAAGAACGACTCGAAGGCACGAGGAACCATAGAGAAGTGGGCAGTGAACCGGCGTCAAAATTCCTCCCCCCCCCCCCCCCCCCCTCAAACCCTGTGGTCCTCTATATAAGAGAGTCAGTTAATTTGGTTGAAATCATGAGTGCGATGTCTAAGCGACAACGAGTGAGTACCGTGGAATGACCGGGTCGACCATGGAGCTCGTTTTAAGCCTCCACTGCTCCATCTCCAGACGAACCTTTTCCACTTCGTCCGCCATACGCTCCTGCCGGAAGATATAAACAAAACTATTATATAGCACAAACTGGGGCACTGGCTTACCAATGATAGCCTGCTTACCAAGGGCAGCTGGCGTATCACGACAGCCGGCTTACGAATGGTACCCGGCTAGCCAACTGTGGCCGGCCTACCAACAGCGCCCTGCTTAACAACAGCGGCTGGCTTATCAGCGGCAGCCGGCTTACCAATAATGGCAGTTGGCTTGCCACCTGTGGCCGACTTACAAGCGGCAGCTGGCATTAAACAGCAGCCGGCTTACCAATAAAGGCAGTTGGCTTGCCACCTGTGGCCGGCTTACCAACGGCAGCTGGCATTGAACAGCAGCCGGCTTACCAATAAAGGCAGTTGGCTTGCCACCTGTGGCCGGCTTACCAACGGCAGCTTGCTTACCGACGCCAGCTGCTGGCTCAGCACCCGCATTTTCTCACCCAGGAGTAATCAATACATACACTCACATGTGCTTGTTTGGTGCAAGTCTTTTTATAGAACGCACTCCAGTATACGCATATACAGCAAATAGAAGTGAAAAGGTTTTAAACTTGAGAGCTAGTAAATATAGCACCGTGCTGGATGAAGTCCTTCCAATGCCATGTCGGTCACGGAGGATGTTTGACCAAAATACTTCTATACGTTGGTCAGCTCGGGTTGGTGAACGGCAATGGAGCAAGGGAGCTACGAATGGACTGGTTCTGACACCACCCACCACGGACGCTGGCCATGGTCAGGAATCGGACGCAGATAACCAGATTCGCGGCACACTACGTGAACGACCATACCATCTCTCCTACCCCTAACTGGGTTCACCTTAAGGAAATGTGTGGTTATATAAACAGGAGAGCAAACAATTGGTGTGTGGGAACGTTAATGTTATGCTTATCAATGCATATATTTATATAGTTTCTCTAAAGGCTCTACATTATTATCCCCTTAATGGCTACATGCTAATGCCTTGTAAATATTTGCACTTTTCCTAATGGAGACATGAATCATGCATGCATATATTTCGTCTCATGGCGTCATGTGTTGCAATTAATATATCCGAGGTAAATCCTGCTTTCTGGCAGTTGGCTTTTCATAAGCGGCTGTATCAACTGCTTACAAAGCAACTGCTTACAAAGCAGTTGATAATCTGGAATGCTTACAAAGCCTGCCTTGTGCGTTGAACATCACAGGACACTGGTAAAGACATCACAAATCACTGCCTGTTGAGAGAATCCAAGCCCCTCCAGTAATAATGAGCACATTGTTCAGTATTATTTCAAGCTACTCTAACAACATAACATTGTCAGGTAGAAAAAAAAGCATAACTTTTCTTTTCATCTAAATAATTTGCCATAATTTGCGAAGCTCATTATCCCAACGGTGCACAGACACTCGAATCATCCAGTTTTCATTTAACAAGTGCACCGCCGATTTTCTTGTGGCCATTCATATTTTAGCACCTCTCTCTTCCGTGCATTTCAAATGTCTCGTTTTGAAAGATGGAATTCTCTCCTTGGAAATCTGTTCTCATCATATACCTAGATATATACGTTGTTTGCTAAACCAAATTTAATCCCACAGAAATGGATGTATACATGCATGTTTGTTGATGAACGTCGTTCGCCGTGCTAATCGGAGGTGCGGGGGAAGGACAACAAATTAAACACAAAAAGCAGTTCTAAGGAAATACATTTTCAATTAAAATCGAATCTGAAAGGTAATGCTATATTTGACATACTTGGGCACGACTGCAGAACAGTATTGATCTGCAAAAATAAGTTAGACAAAACCAAGTAGAATAATGCCGTGCATATTGTGAGTATGGAGTTTAGGGAGAGACAGTGGTTCCAGGGAAAGTGGGTGTGGGTGCTGGTGGATGCATGTACATCGCAAGCCGAGTGATTCCCTTCTCATCTCCGCTGGTGGTCCTCAGCCAGTGGTGGAAATTCCTCATTGATATGGCAGGGACAAATGAATCAATCGAACATTCAATAGAGTTCAACCCTTCCACCTCCCTCCCTTACTGCGAGTAGATTTATTTTTTGCGCGATCCAACAAAAAAACCCCTTTATTATGGACCATATTGGTCGCGAAAGCCTTCATGTTAAGCAGATTTTTGTTTGAGGTCAGAACACAGTACGGTCAAACACCTCTTATCTGTGGTGATATGGTGGGCCCTCTTAACAGATCCTATTGCCAATAATAATTCGTGTAAATTACTCCTGTTATCCATGTGGCTAACCACACAAACGTAGCTCATATGATACATTTTCCACAACTTCTGTGTCACTCCTATTATCACAGACAATAGCAGGTTAATATGAAGAATCAATGCATGGCAAACGGGATATTACATCCACGGATTGAGTTGGGGGGGTGCTGGAAATAGGAAAATCTTGTCAAAAGGAGGGTGGATAACGTGCATCTGACTGGATATGCACCTGATGATGATTGCTTATGTTGCAGTCGAAACGTCGTGAGAATTGTATTGTTTTATATTTTTATTATTTTATTGTTTCCCTTCTACTTGACTTTACCGAAAGAACCAAGAATATGGATATGCTCTCCTTATGAAATGCAGAAGTTCAGTCTGCGAGTTCACGGTCAAATATTCCTTGGAAAAAAAATAAAGCCAATCAAGTAACCCGAGCTATGCAATACAGTACAGTAATTGGTATTGCAAAGAAAACAATTCCTCACTCAATATCAGATTTAGAGAATTCTGAACTATGGATTAGTTATGAAAGCCTGTCTCCAGGAGCTTAGCTGCCTATCACGTGTCTATGTGCTGTGCTGGCCTTATTTGCTCAAATGTAACATCTTGAAGGGTGTGATCAGCAGCCACTTGTGACCTTTTGTCAAGCAATTGCAGGCAGATCATTGAACCAATTTAACTTTGTAACTTTCTCAAAGGTCCATAGCATGCAATTTATAACTTGCATACAACACTGTTTACAGCTGTTTTGCAGTAATTTAATGTTCAGCATCATAGCGAGGTGACTGTGATGATCATCAGTGCTCATCGCAAACAGGTGAGCTCTATGAAGTGCTCTCTCTCTCAAAGAGTAACGTAGTTTGAAATCATTTTAAGTCAATCGCAACTGCTGACCCGAATAAGCGAAAAAATGGCACTCACATCATGCAGCCAACAGCAAGGTTGGTGAAGCAGTAAAGCATTTGCAAGCCTTTGTCACTCTTAATAAGGATATACAAAAGGTAGGAAAATCTAAAGCAATGAAATGGATACAAGGGACTATTGTATGTCACTGTTTCTATTCTGTCGCAAGAAAAAAATCATTTTTTTAAATTCCACAGAGATGCTTTCAGACCATCTTATTGCACAGAGCAGCATGTAGTAAGCTGGTTATTACGTTTTCAATTTTCTGTTTGAATTGGAGCCTCAAAATTCCCCCCCCCCAAAAAGCTATGGGAGAGGTCAATCCCCTTTTCAAACTTATCATGCATTTTGATACAGAAAGCTGAGAGCTGTAGCAAAGTGTGTGTACGTGTCTGGGCTGAATCCATTATGACACAAATCTCATCACATAATGTATAGGTCCTGTCATATGGTGGGTACATCAAGGCAATCAAACCTTGTTTGGAACTTACCAAGGCATTGAATGTTGACTGTGTGTCTGTGATAGACACAGGTCCAGCCAAGTTATGGGGAAGGGTATCTTATCAGACTGTTGAGGCAAGTGCTGTTAGCGAGCACCTATGAAGGCCGACACAGCACACAAGTACGTGGTGCGAGGTTCACACACCACAGCAGGTGCTCATCTGAGGCTGAGTCGACCCAGGAGAGGCCCAGGACCGGTTCAGATAATCGTCACTGGAGTTGGCCACCGTAAGTGGGAATCGGGTCGCCAGGTTCTTAACCGCTGCACCACGGCTCTCCCCTCTAGAACGTGAGCCCAACGTGCTGTGACCTGGTATCCCCAAGGCGACTTGAAACAGCGACATTCTCAATTCGTGAGAAGTCCACAGTGCTACTGCTGGGAAGGCCTTCAACTCACAATTGGAATATTGTGAGTTCAGTCGATCATCCTTTGGGGGATGGGGGTCAATAAAATATATATAACTTTGTGGGCAGTCAAAAGTGATCAGCCTATCAATAGAATGGTTCCCAGTGTGGGAATGTGGAGTTCATCAAACCCCAAGGCGGTTAACTTTTCTTGTAAAATTCACACATTACAATAACCACCTATTCTCTTCCTTCAGTTCACGGCTTCATTAAAGTTGTAATTTAAAAGAGACTGGGAACACATTTTACAGGTCTATATATTTTGCACCACATTTAAAAACTATGATACGCTTAAATTTAAACAAACAGCATTTCATTTATTTTTTCAAAACGATTTACATACAAAATTACTTTTGATATTAATTACGCTATGAATATAGTTATTTTTTTCCCAATGCAGCAGAAATTTTTTTTTTCATTGGAGGATTTAGTTCATTCAAACAAACGTGTTTCACCCTTCACACAATATAATTCCAAATGAGCCACAATTTCAACTTCACAATCCACAAGGGCTCAAGGGGCTCTGCATGGATATCACCTTTCACAGGCGAGACACAGCATCACAGAGCCTCTCCCTTGGTACTGATCTACCAACCCAGGGTACGTATACTGAACTTCTTTCGCACCATACGTAGGCAACCGTGCTAATCGGAGGGTAACCATAAGTGCAACAAGACACTCATTTTAAAGCCTCTGATCTAACCAAGACCTATCCTGCTCAAGGTGAGAGCCCCTGCTAACGCAAGGCATGATGGGACCTCGAGGAGCCATCCTCAATAACAAAGAATGGAGTAGGGAGGACGCCAATGACATCGACGGCAGAGGAAGGTCCTAGTGGAGCCAAACGGCGGGTATGGCAAGCAGAAGAGTCGCCTCTTGCCATCAGGGCTGCCCAGGTGTTCCTCCAAAAAGGGGAGACACCAGGCAGACAAGCACCTGATTCAATCAAATTAAATCCACTAGACGGTGCTTTCTGTTGTGAAACGTTTAGGTGATAAATACACATTGTCGCAGACGTGCGTACGAAAGAGACATCACAATATATAAAGCCGTGAAAGAATGAATCAAAGTTAAATTACTTAGCTCAAAGAAATTTTCAAATTAGCTGATGCTGGAAAAAAAGGCCGATTGTCTACATATATACATATATAAAATTGCTCATCAATACATCTGCAACAGCCATCAGACAAATCACAAGCATTATTACACTCGGTGCGCACACAGACTCACCCCTTCGCCCTAGCCCGTCGTCCCCTGTGCCGGGTGCCCAGCGAGGATGCCACGCGAATACGAAGAGGCGACGGACGGGCGAAGCCGAAACCTTGGTCTGTCCCAAACCCTAACCCTTGACCCCATAACCTGGGCAGGCTGCAGGGCCTAATGAAGTGCCCGTGTAAAACTCCGAGTGACGTGCCTCCCGTTCTCGTACGGTGACATAACCCATGCACCGCTACCCTCCACCTTGACTTCTGCACAAAGCAGAGGCCGAGGGAGGGACTTTCTTTCAATCATCCGCAACGCAGCCCCCGGTTACAGCAGCGTACTCAAGTGCGATTTAGCAGGCACAGGCTCGTTCTTGAGGAGAGGCTGCTATGCAGGGATCCCATGCCCCATGCTGTTGGTGAGGGTTTTTCGCACGGATAGACAACGTGAACGAAAATGGAACGCAACGCGACAAACAAAAGGAAAACGGCGATCGAACTGAACTTGCTGTGCGTGGACGTGCCGTGCCCCGGATGGTCGAGGACGAAGAATATTTCCTACGGCGTCGGTTTGCTTTAATGATTCATACTGGCCTCACTTTTGTTGTCCGAAGTGAGCGCAGCGAGACCGCCGGAGTGAAATTGATGTCACACAAATTCATCGCTCGCGTAATACAATGCGACTTTGTCGGGCGTGCTTCATCTTGTACATATGCCTCGATCTAAAGAACCCTTTCTGCTGGTATTAAGATGATAACAAAATTAGGTTTTACCCTATTTGGCAATATGGTAAAATGTGTTAAGACGTTCAAACACCAAATTAACATCTATTACAAGGCATTATCAAGTCTGCATTAACCACATATACTGCACTTGTGGTAAAACATGCAAACAAATATGCTTTAATAATGTATATGCATTGTCCTTGAAACTGATTGACCTGCACCAGAGACAGCCTCCTTTATTGCCTTGTCTCACCGTTGTTCAACCAAAGAAGGCCAAATAGCTGTGCATTTGGTGGTTGAACATCTCAGCACCTTCTGTATTAATTCCTTTAATTTTTTTTTTAAATCACATCTTACTCCGTTTGAAATGGGGTCTGTTTATCAGCCACTGTCCACATCACCCCCTAAAGTTTTCAATATTAACTGGCAATCAGTGGGATTTAAAATGTGAATTGACAATGCATGCAATTGTGCTATGTGAGAGCAGAGAATATACATTTTTCACAACAGCTGAACGAGCTGCAAGCTGGACAAAATAACGCAAATTGGCCATGAAATACACACTCAAAATACAAACCGCTAAAATATAAGAGTTTTGTTTACCTTATCCATGTGGGCCTCTTCCAACTGTTTTCTTGTATTATCAAGTTCATGGGTAAGTGCATTCTAAACAAATACATGAAGGAAATGCATCATTACAAATGCCACACACACAACTGTGAAATAAGCAAGTTACAAATTGACAGTTGAAGGGAATCGTAAACTGATTAAAATTAAATTCAATGTCGTTGAGCAAGCGAATGCATTGACTTGAAACCTGCTATTTTGTGATTTGTGCAAGCAAATTTATGCTCATGTCTATGAAATAATCAGCTGCAGCTGAAAAATCATTGTAACAACAATTGGCTTTCAATCAAGGAAATGAGATTAGCCCAAAAAAATCATTCAAACTTAAATCATTCAAAACCAACGCTTAGTTCCGCAACATCATCTTAACGTAAGGTACATATGAAGTAAAAAGCCAGATTAAAATAGATTACTATTAAAATTATGGATGTGTTGATGCAATCCAGTTCATAGGGCATGACATTAATTTGTTTTTTGTTCATTTCAATGAAAAAAAAAACCCACCTAGCTATTCACTTGGCCTTCGCCCACTAAAACTGCGACACGCGCTCTCTCGCGACCACGTCGATATTAGTCGCACCCCGCTGTCCGTCCCCGCCTTTGAAACAACGAGACGTAAACCCCGACACATTGGGCTCTTCGCGCTCGCGCGGTCCAGGGCAAGCGGGAGACGTGAGCTGGTGGCTGTTTGGCGGTTCGGGCCTTCATGCCTTGTGTCCTGTGGCGGCGATTAAAAGTTATTATCAACTAGGATGGGGCCACGGCGGCTTCCACGCCCTGGGCGCCGGCACGTACCTTCTCCTCCAGCGATGACATCCTCTCCTTGAGGTGCAGCTGCAGACGCTCGTTGGACTCGGACAGAAGCTTGTCTACCGTGTCCGAGAGTCGCTTGTTGTGCTCCTCGTTCATCTTCTCTCGCTGCCTCGCCTGCATTCACGCACGCACGCACGTGGTGGCGGCCAGGGGGGATGGGGGGGGGCATCAAACACTCTCCAAGCCACCCTCCCCGCTGGGGCATCCTGCAAAGTATTACTTTTCAAGACAAGAGTCGCATATCCGTACCTCCGGTTAGCACAGTTGGCTACGTACGGTGCAAAAGAAGTTCAGCATACATACACACATATACGACTCGTTAGAGACTGAGGTAAGGTCACATGTGTGAGCGAAAAGGTCGGATATGTAGACATAAAATGACAGTTACACCGTCCGCAAGTACTTTAGAAAATGCACTATATTTACAATGAGTAGCTTACGAGTTAAAAAACTTGTCGGGCATCAACTCAGATGTTCAACCTGTTGGACCGACAAAGTGTGTTGCACCACTTCATGGAGGAGTCAACAGTTGGTGCCCATTTGAAGCGAAACATTCCACTGCCTCAGGACCCCAGAGAGGGAGCCACTGCCACATGTTCACCCGTGCCCCGAGTGATTTCAACTTCGATTAGCCATCAGCAATTTACTGGCTCGATAAGTTGTGCCAAAAGCAGCGCCACAGAGGACAATGCCCCGACAATGAGCACCACAGAGGACAATGCCCCGACAATGAGCACCACAGAGGACAATGCCCCGACAATGAGCACCACAGAGGACAATGCCCCGACAGTGAGCGCCACAGAGGACAATGCCCCGACAGTGAGCACCACAGAGGACAATGCCCCGACAATGAGCACCACAGAGGACAATGCCCCGACAATGAGCACCACAGAGGACAATGCCCCGACAATGAGCACCACAGAGGACAATGCCCCGACAATGAGCACCACAGAGGACAATGCCCCGACAATGAGCACCACAGAGGACAATGCCCCGACAATGAGCTACACAGAGGACAATGCCCTGACAATGAGCACCACAGAGGACAATGCCCCGACAATGAGCACCACAGAGGACAATGCCCCGACAATGAGCACCACAGAGGACAATGCCCCGACAATGAGCACCACAGAGGACAATGCCCCGACAATGAGCACCACAGAGGACAATGCCCCGACAAATGGGACACCACAGAGGGCAATACCCCAACAATGAGCACCACAGAGGACAATGCCCCGACAATGAGCACCACAGAGGACAATGCCCCGACAGTGAGCACCACAGAGGACAATGCCCCGACAATGAGCACCACAGAGGACAATGCCCCGACAATGAGCACCACAGAGGACAATGCCCCGACAATGAGCACCACAGAGGACAATGCCCCGACAAATGGGACACCACAGAGGGCAATACCCCAACAATGAGCACCACAGAGGACAATGCCCCGACAATGAGCACCACAGAGGACAATGCCCCGACAGTGAGCACCACAGAGGACAATGCCCCGACAATGAGCACCACAGAGGACAATGCCCCGACAATGAGCACCACAGAGGACAATGCCCCGACAATGAGCACCACAGAGGACAATGCCCCGACAAATGGGACACCACAGAGGGCAATACCCCGACAATGAGCACCACAGAGGACAATGCCCCGACAGTGAGCACCACAGAGGACAATGCCCCGACAATGAGCACCACAGAGGACAATGCCCCGACAATGAGTGCCATGAGACTGTGAGCGTCTGCAAGCAAGGATAATGGAGCATTGCAGACTTTCAAGAAAGGGCAGAGAACGGGGCTCCAAACAAAATAACTTTGGATTTGGACCCAAGCCCACTCAATCTCCTAACTACCCAGGCCAGCCAACAGCTAAAATGTTCCAGTAGGTGTATTTCAAATAGGTTACTGTGCAATTAATTGTCAGTGAAATCTAGCATTGTCTCTCTAATAATTATGCATATTTCGCATCTTTAAAAGAAAGTACAGTATAATTAATTTGGCGTATAAAATGCCAGAGATCAGCTGACTCCTAAGTGTGCTGACGTTTGTTATAAATCCTCAAGTGTTAAACATATACATACATTTGTGTTTATATCAATCACTTATCACTTGTGATCTCGGCATCATGTCATGAAATTAAACATTTCCATTCTACAGCAAGCAGTGGATCACCCTGCGTCAGAGAGGATGACATCACAGAAGTGCTTCTTCAAGCCTATTTTAAAATACCTATATCGACAACAGACCTTTTAAAAGACCTCTTCATCCACAACAGACACACGCCTTTTAAAGCCTTCCTAATTAGTCATTTCATGTCAATGAAATGAAATATTTGTGTCAAAACTTACAGATTTTTTTACTAAATTAACTTAAAGGTTTCACTGAATGTTGTGTTATCCTGGTGCAGTTACTGCTGACCAAGTTGAGATCATCAACGCACAATACTTGAGAATCGGGGTTCAATCACGTATGGCTGCCTGGATTTAAACCTAGGCCTCAGGAGCACCAGCTCATTGCCTGTTATGCCTGAGTCACACAGCAGCTACCTGAAGAATCCGAGATGTATCCGTCAAGTTGACCATATTCAGTGTGGAAGTAATGTAATTTCACATTATTAGAAAGGTTCCTATATGACAGTACAGTTACTGACTGTGTGCAGTTTATATGTCTTGCCCTCATTTACAGGTGCTGTGCACCAAAACAACTCAAGCAGGACCCTACTAAAAAAACAGAGTCTTGAGACTCACAGAGAATCCCGAGATTATCATATAAATCACTCATTATTTAAATGGTCACAGTGTACAACATTGGTGTATGTGGGAAGTGACTGCATGTCACTGGCCTTGCCGTGTAATAGGATTAGGTGTTCAATTACAAAGAGACCCAAGGATACTAATTGCATGTTAACATTTATTGCCGTAGCATAGTGAAAACGCATCGTCACCTTAACATTAATATTCGGTTTGGTGTCATGACTAAGCTTGTTAGTGGTAAGGTAATGCCTAGGCATGTTAATGTATACTAGAGTTCAAAGGATTTATTTTAGTACCTTTCTTTTTGCATTATAGCACTCTGTAGATACCATTGTATGGCAGCTACCACACGCTGCTTTGTGTAATTAAATTGCATGAGTCACTTCGAGGAAGCCACTCATCATCAGCATTCATCGATCTGCTGGATCTTTCACGGATGGTCCCACAATGCACCAATCCCTCTAGTACCTTCGCTCCATCTGGCGTGGTGGACGTTCTTTCAGGCACGTTTCCTCCTTTGGCTGCCACTTCAACATTAGTTTCGACCGCTGACCATCATGCCTTCTTGTCGTGTGGTCTAACAAAGCTCCCTTGCTTAAAAGTCTTGAATGCAAGGCGGAATAAAACATATATAGAAATAACACTAAAAACTGTGAATACTCCAGCCCTTATTTTGCAGATGCGTACCACCCCAGTCTATGTGTTCTCTCGACTGCTCATCATGAACATGAAGCTTCATTCGTGGAAAACGAATGAAGCAATTATAAGGATCCAACTGAAGTGACTTTACAACAATGACATCGCATTACAAAGCATGGGACTTACGCTGCAGAGACATGAACCTACAAAGTCATTTTTTTCTTCTCGCTGTTGAAGTTTACAGCTCATTGTCAGAAAGCTACGGATGCACATCCTGGGTAAGTATCTACAAATAAAGAGCTGTAGGAATTTTGGGTTGCGCTTTCCTTTCCTCAAAGAGGGCTCAATGTATTGGCCAACCAACCAATTATTTCCAGCGGCTTTACACTCACAGGACAATTATTCAGAAGGAATATTATCTAAATAATGAGATAGCATCCGAGAAGGGGAACAAACAAATATAGAATACCTACAGAGGAGTTGAAAAGAACACAATAACCAAATGAACAAAATGGAATGCATCCAAGAGGACATCTATTCACGAACTTGAGCGATGACATCAGCTCGTGCTGAACCATTACGTTACGGCGATGGCTTGGGGAGGCCTTCATCAAGTGGTGGATTGATCATGGTTATTTTATGTAAATGCTCACCCCAAGCCCTCAATACTCTGATAGTGTGCTGTTTTTGAGTTGTACGCCTTTTGGCGTCTTCTGGTCCAACACCAATGGAGACTAGGCTCTAAGAAAAGCCGTCTCGGGTGTGGACCAAACAAATTCAAGGACAGTGCATATTATTTTCAGAGTTGTCTTTTTTGTTTGCATTTTGACTGCTTGTGTTGTGGTTATTGCAAACATGATGCCTTGAATAAAGGTGTCAGTTTTTGTGCCAGTTAAAAGGGTAAAACCTATTCCTATGATCATGGTTAATGATGAAGATTAACAAAAGGGTACGCGTGGCAGTGAAATAAATACCAGCCAAACGGTTCTAAAGATAGTGGCTGCCCTTGAAGTCAGGTGACCGTGAGCGTTGATCCTCTCTGATCTCTGGAGGATGCCCAGGCGGAGGGAGGGACAGGAAACTCACTCTCAACACCTCCTGATTCTTCTCCTCCAACTGGGTCTCCAGTTGCCGTAGACGTTCCTCGATGTCCCCGTGCCGCTCCTCCGCCTGTCAACCAAAATGAGAATGGTGGTGATAAAAAGCAAAAATCAGAAGTCAGGGAGTGCAGCGTTAAAGGGACATCTCTCTTGCTGCAATGAATGAAAAGGTTGCAATGGGTGAATGGCAATGCCGCAAGAAAACCTTGACTGCGGCAAGAGTGGCAGCGTCAAGGCCCGCCGTGCCATGCTCTCTCCCCTGTTAGTTACTCGGAGCGCGCGGTTGAGGTCGGAGAGCTCGGCAAAGCTGTGTGCACGCGATGCATGGAAGGGCGCGAGTCATGCCGGAGTGGCACAGGCTCTTGGGGATTAATGCGCAAATGCAGATGAGTGAATCGAAATCTGCTCTGGAGGACACTACACGTGGACGTTAAAAAGGGATGCGACTTATAAACATGTCGGTAAATATGCGAAACACAGATTTAGAATGTCTGACATAATAGGTCAAACAAATAAGGATCATATTTCCCGCTCAGATAATGAATGTCTATTTTATTGTACAATTGCACGCACATTATAATTTGAGTGACTGCGACAATAATTAAAACTTTTAATTTTAAGTTCCCCATTGCTTGCTTTAATTTGTTGTCAACGGTTTGCTGTAATCACTAAACACCCGTCAAACAATTGCAACTATTGCGTTAAATAAAGCAGGCTATTGTTCAGCGAATGCTATCATGTAAAATAACTTTTACACACAGCAGGTTTCCAGAACTGACTATGAAGCTACTCAATCTGGATTCGCAAATGGTTGGCAAGGACCAACTAAATCCAGTGCCACACATATTTCCATGCAAATGTAAGCAGCCTCTAAATGCACGAATGAAGATAAGTCAATATTGCGCTGAATGTATTCAGCACACACACATGTAAAGACGCATACTGATGGATATCCATGCGTTTATCCAAAACTACGTCGCAATATGCCCAAGTTAATCAAGGAATTAATAATACCACTCCACCACTAACGAAGAGATCTATCCATACAAAATTGATCCGGTGAACGTTGTAAAATTGAAATTACAAGACAAAACAACAAACCAGATCTTGCCAATATTTTTGTTGTTGTGTGTCAAAACGTCTAAATGTTAAAGTCACATTGACCTCTAAAAATTGATCCAAATTGATTTTCTTCTTCTCCGAGACAAACAAATACAACCCTAAGTTCTCTTTGTGCCTCCATCATCCAAGGTAACCCAATAAACACTGCTCACATTATCATCTCAGTCCCTACGTCATCCCTCTGCCTCTATAATTTCCTGGAAACTAATATCTTTCACATCGTTCATCACGGTACTTTTATTTGCTCATCTCCATGATCTCTCTCCGCTTATCTTGAAGTGTACGATTAACTATACAGTGGATCAGCAGTGAATGTAGATCTCATTTTCGAGCGTGACATACAGCACACCACGCTTTGAATCAAAAGTGCAGAAAGTTAAGGCGGCCGTCCACTTTGATATGTCGCGATTTCACGAGGATTAAAAGCGTCATTTTTTCCGTAGTGACTGCGTATCGACAACAGAACCGCGTTGGAAATATGTAAATAAATGTCCGCCATTTTCAGCCCAGGCATATTGTAAAATTCTAATGGCTGAATATGAAGTACATCCCAAGAGCTGAAATGTCAAGTTCCCCAAAGGAAAAGTAATGCAAGTCTAAAAATTTTCAAAATAATACTTGATCAAAAGACCGTAAGCTTTGGCACATCTTAATAATGGAAAACCATTTTTACTATGAATAAGACTTAACATACTTTCCGTGGTAAATCTACATTCCCATTTTAACATCTGCAATAAATATGCAAGGCCAATTGAAATGCACAGTTGCTCCAACTTCATTCAATATAAATTGTCGTTAAAAAAACAACCCCTTTACATATATATCTCTTAAAGAGTTTTTTTTATTTGTTAACAAGCCTGCATTAGATGGATTAGACTACCGAGTCGTTATGTTTACGTGGCGGTCTCCAAGAACCTTGCAATCGACGGATATGTGCACAAAAGAGGACGTTTGAGTGCTTCCGTAGATTTCTATTGGCCCTGCTTGGAAGCCAGGCGGCGGTGGCGGTGAGCGCGGCGACGGAGTGAAGGGAGATGGAAGCGGAGAGGAGGCTGGGCACGCTCTACCTTCCTAAGCAAGATGCTCATGTCTTGCAGTTTAACTTCCAGAATAGTGGAGTCATCGGGTGAAGAGGGATCGTACTGAGAGAGCGAGGAGAAGGAAAGGGGAGGAAACAATAGGAAAGAAAACACATTCAAGAGGGAACAAAATGAAAATGAAATACTTGAATACCAGTCACACCTCTTTAACGCCGATGCTTCGACACTGATTTCCACCAGATAAATGTTCCAAAACAGTAGCGTTCGTTTTTGACATCTCGAGTTCCATATTTCAGGGTTTTTTTTAAAATATATCTTTATTATTTTAATGAGAGACTGTGACACGATTGCAACTGTTTTTACAAACGGCATCATTCACGGAGTTCGGGTCAAGATGTTTCACCACGTCTAATATGGGGGTTTTATATGCAATTTGTACTATTTGTTAAAATAAATTGCGGCCATTACAAGAAATGTTATGTTATTGTAACTTAACTCCCCGGGGACGTTACCTGTGCATTTTAAGAGAAAGGCTAATTCATTAAAAATATTTGGAGATATATAGGACTCATGAATACCAAAAAAACATGACTTGTGAGCTCCCCTGATTACACATCAGCACTATTCATTTAAAGGCCCATCCTTCAATCAACATATTCTTCTGAAGAATTAACACGGCAAGCTCAAAGAGGTGAAACCATAATCACAGCTCCAGGTTGAAACACAAAACTGACAAAGCGACTGGTGGTAAAACGTCCTATATTTAGCTTGCATACTAATTGCGAATAATGCTTCAAGCCATCATTACAACTTAACAGGAATATATTGCATTACGTATTGAGGCACAATCAGCCCGTGAAAAATTGCTGAACAGCCTCGTCCCACTTACCTGCACAAATTACTCGCATGCAAAGCAGAGTCCAATTAGGAGAATACGACAAATAAAATGTCTCATCGAGTAAGATAAAAGATCTCTCCAAGCATTGAAATTTATACTATAAATTAGTTATGTTTCAAATGCATAAATGTAAAACACCGTACAAAGTTTGTTTGTTTTTTATTAATATTATTAAATATTGCCTGAACAAAATTTCCCCAACATCTAGAAGGTTTTGATATTTTGCAACAGCTAATTTCACTGAAAGTCTTTAAGACCAAAGACTTCTTATTTTCTACAACCTTCAAATTTATATCACGCAACTATTAAAACAGTTTAATTCTTCAAAATATTTTGTTCCTGTAAATGATTCATCCACTCTTTATCTCTAAAGGCCAAAGTGAGCAGAAGGTACGTTCTGTAATTATAATATTTGCGTTATCACAAGAAGAAACGCGTACGTTGGAAATCATCCGTGAATTACGTTGGCAGAGCTCATCTAAAGAATGGATTACGTTCTCGTCTAAGGGAACAAGGTTTCAAAAACATATTTCAAAGGTACGACGCACTATTACTAAGTCATGAGAAGCACAGAGACAGCACAGAAAAAGGGAAAACAAGTGCAGGAGGCGGAAGAGAATTAACAAGAAGTCCGAGACATCAAACGTCCCAGCCTAAATCCCCCACGGTGCATGCTGCATGCAGTTGATTCATGACACAGGTGTTAATGCACATGGAGACATGTGACCCTCAGTGTGCAACTTAACATCATGCACAGCACACGGCAACATCCTGCGATGGTGTAAAAAGTCAAACAAATGAACGGCTTTAAAAACAATTGAATTTCCACTCGTCAGAATACATGAATATATGTTCCTCATTCGGGTTTGGATGTTTTAACTACTTTATGAGTGATATATACAGACATACGTGGTAACTGAAGCAGAGGCACTGTTAGTATTATTTTGAGGTTGTCTGAGAGACGAACTGCAATAATGGCATTGCGTTAAAGTGATGGCATGGAGGAAGGGGAAATAAAGCATTAAACAAGATAACAAACTTGGGATGAAAAAAAATTGTTCTATAGCTCGGTGACATGGAGCATGCTTATTTTACGCATGGCATGAGTGGCCACAAGCGATTTGATCAAATTAACTGTCTACCACAGAACATTTACTCCGCAACAACTGCATGCTTTATATGTTTATGAACAGTGCGTGCCAAACACAGATATTCCATATTGTTGGCTGCTGTATCTACATAATTAATTCTTAAAGCATACAAGTGTGGATTCAAAGATTAAGCTAAATTATTCACGTGAACTGGAAACATACCAACACATCGTGCACACATTATGGAGGATCACTCTTTAAAAACAGCCTGTCAGCGTGAGAAATCAAAACACGAGCAACGCTAAAATGTTCTCGGATGCATTTTTGGTTTGTACCACACTTTGCACACCAGCATGTCCGACGATTTTCTTACAGCCCCCCGTATATTCACTGCCAATGAAGCTCCCAAGAGAGCAGAGCGAAACGTCGGACATCGTGTCACGCAAAGCACGGCACAAACCCGAGAACACACCGGAGCCGCTGTGCGGCACAACCGCGGACACCTACGCAGCACCAAAAATAAACGGGGGGGGGGGGGGGGGGTGGGGGAGAGGGCAGCCGGGAAAAAAAAATTACGTTTCCATTTGCTCGCGTTGACATGCATCTTACTGGGGGCGTGCACGGTTGCGGAACAAACGGCGGCGAGAGCCCCCCGCCCCCCAGGCAGTGTCCGTACCTTGGTGAGCGCGGCCACACGCTGCGCGAGCTCGGCCTCCACCTCGGGCAGGGTCTCGGCCTTGCGCATCGTCTGCTGGAGCTTCTGCTCGGCGAGCTCCAGCCTCTCCTGCAGCTGCCGCGTCTTGTCCTCGCTCTGCGACGCGCATACAGGTGGGAGGCAAAGATCCCCCGCCCCCCGTGTTGCTTTAGCGCACTTATGGAGCAGGTGCTGTTTGCGAGCGCCTATGAAGGCCGGCACGCGAAGGTGGTGGGTGGCCAACACCACGCGCCTGGCCACCTTTGTCTCCACGGTGGCGATGCTTACACACCGCACCACGTATTCATTTGAGGCCGAGTCGACCTTGGGGAGGGGCCCAGGACTGGTTCAGATAATCGTCACTGGTGTTGGCCGTGAGCAGGAATCGGACTCGAGTCGCTGGGTTCGCAGCCCAGCACCTCTAACCGCTGCATTACCGCTCCCCGCACAAAGGGGGAAACGCACAGAGGCGTATACAGTGAGGGAAAAAAGTATTTGATCCCCTGCTGATTTTGTACGTTTGCCCACTGACAAAGAAATTCTCAGTCTATAATTTTAATGGTTGGTTTATTTGAACAGTGAGAGACAGAATAACAACAACAAAATCCAGAAAAAACGCATGTCAAAAATGTTATAAATTGATTTGCATTTTAATGAGGGAAATAAGTATTTTACCCCCTCTCAATCAGAAAGATTTCTGGCTCCCAAGTGTCTTTTATACAGGTAACGAGCTGAGATTAGGAGCACACTCTTAAAGGGAGTGCTCCTAATCTCAGCTTGTTACCTGTATAAAAGACACCTGTCCACAGAAGCAATCAATCATCAGATTCCAAACTCTCCACCATGGCAAAGACCAAAGAGCTCTCCAAGGATGTCAGGGACAAGATTGTATACCTACACAAGGCTGGAATGGGCTACAAGACCATTGCCAAGCAGCTTGGTGAGAAGGTGACAACATTTGGTGCGATTATTCGCAAATGGAAGAAACACAAAAGAACTGTCAATCTCCCTCGGCCTGGGGCTCCATGCAAGATCTCACCTCGTGGAGTTGCAATGATCATGAGAACTGTGAGGAATCAGCCCAGAACTACACGGGAGGATCTTATCAATGATCTCAAGGCAGCTGGGACCATAGTCACCAAGAAAACAATTGGTAACACACTATGCCGTGAAGAACTGAAATTCTGCAGCGCCTGCAAGGTCCCCCTGCTCAAGAAAGCACATATACATGCCCGTCTGAAGTTTGCCAATGAACATCTGAATGATTCAGAGGACAACTGGGTGAAAGTGTTGTGGTCAGATGAGACCAAAATGGAGCTCTTTGGCATCAACTCAACTCGCCGTGTTTGGAGGAGGAGGAATGCTGCCTATGACCCCAAGAACAACATCCCCACCGTCAAACATGGAGGTGGAAAAATTATGCTTTGGGGGTGTTTTTCTGCTAAGGGGACAGGACAACTTCACCGCATCAAAGGGACGATGGACGGGGCCATGTACCGTCAAATCATGGGTGAAAACCTCCTTCCCTCAGCCAGAGCATTGAAAATGGGTCGTGGATGGGTATTCCAGCATGACAATGACCCAAAACACACGGCCAAGGCAACAAAAGAGTGGCTCAAGAAGAAGCACATTAAGGTCCTGGAGTGGCCTAGCCAGTCTCCAGACCTTAATCCCATAGAAAATCTGTGGAGGGAGCTGAAGGTTCGAGTTGCCAAACGTCAGCCTCGAAACCTTAATGACTTGGAGAAGATCTGCAAAGAGGAGTGGGACAAAATCCCTCCTGAGATGTGTGCAAACCTGGTGGCCAACTACAAGAAACGTCTGACCTCTGTGATTGCCAACAAGGGTTTTGCCACCAAGTACTAAGTCATGTTTTGCAGAGGGGTCAAATACTTATTTCCCTCATTAAAATGCAAATCAATTCATAACATTTTTGACATGCGTTTTTCTGGATTTTTTTTGTTATTATTCCGTCTCTCACTGTTCAAATAAACCTACCATTAAAAGTATAGACTGATAATTTATTTTGTCAGTGGGCAAACGTACAAAATCAGCAGGGGATCAAATGCTTTTTTCCCCTCACTGTACACACACACACATTTATAATGCAGCCCCAACGTAACGAGCGTCTCAGAGCACAGATGTACACGGCAGGCAAGGGGGGGGATGGGATGGAGACCGAGCAAGAGAAAAGAGCCGATGCACGCGCACACACGCTTGGGATTTCGCAATATCATTCATGATGTTTAGGTTGACATCATAGATTCATTTCTCGTGGAATATTTTCCAAGACCTACCCAACCCCCTGCTGTTTCGTGATACGTTTAATGCGGTATAAGTTTCCCATCACTGGGTATTTGTATTTCACATGTATTAATTTATTGATGCTGTACTTTGCTGCACTATCTTGTAACCATGAAGTGTACTTAAAAGTTCTTCTGCTTCATTTCACCCAACTTAAGCATGCCATAAGAGGTTCTGATTATTTAAATATATGAGCGCTAATAAATGCACATGCTACCAGTTACACGAATCATACTTTAAATAACAAAATGAACTATGAAAATAATGATCTCATATGATCTCCATGCCATGACCTACTGTGTAAAACATATTATAAAGCATTAATTTAATGTATAATAGCTAAAAATTAGATAATACAATCGAGTTTATAATTCTGAAGACATTTTGCTAAGATTTTTTTAAAATTAATATTTATTAAATGAGCAACGATAATCACGACATAATCAAAGCAGACGACCGATTGTATCGTGCAATGCACATCGTGATATCGCCACATCCTTGCGCCCGTACGCGCTTGTGCGAGCGCGTCGTGCGTACTCGAACCTGGCGCCTGTACGTGCAGTCCGACACGGAGAGGCTATGCGGGACCACAGGGGAACCCGTCTTAGGCCGTGATAGCATCCTAACAGTCAACATCAACAGGTCGTGGGCTGGGTTCTGCGATCAGCGCGGTGGCTCGGTATAAGCCCGCGAGAGTGATTTAGCGTGAACCCGTTTGCTCTCGACTTTTCCTAGCAGCTCGTGGAGGCAAAGCCTGCTTCTCGCTGCAGGCGTGCGCAGGTGATGAAGACGCACGCGAAGAGAAACAAAAACTGAAACGCATTTTTACAATGCACTTTAATAACCAGCTAATCCTGCTAGCCTGCCTCGTGCTGATAAAGGTTGTAAATGTGTCATGTAAAAAAAAACATGAAATATATAATACACAGCAATGCATTGAATACATTTCCATGTCTCAATAGCTATGCATCTAAAAAAAAAATACTTTCGTTTTTTATTGCTATATCTGGATATTTTAAATCACAATCATCCTCTATAAAACTCTTCATTTTCTCAAAAATCACAAGATATTACTGCGCAAAGGCTACATATGACAAAGAAAACATTTTCACAGTCATTTCTGAATTGATTCTGAAAAGTTGAGCGACATTGCCGATGTACACAATGCGTAAGAGTTATAATTTAACATCTTTATAATCAACAAATAAATTACATTTGATCTTACTACCATTTAAATATTGATTAACTCCTTGGCGAATTAGCTATCAAACACATGTAAACAATTAGAGGTTAATAATATTTCTGGAGCAGAAGCCATCTTTAAGAATTGTTCTTGATTATTTTAATTGTGGAAATTAAACACACTGTGACTAAATTTTGATTTAAAGCTTTCGTGACTGCATTGATTCATATTCTTGGTTTATTCGGTAAAGGCACGTTGAAGGGAAACAATAAAATCTATATTTTATTATTTTACCGTTTCCCTTCAACACTGTGACTAATTAACTAAAACAAATTATTTACCATAATTCAGTAAAAACTGTAAAAGATTATGCATTTTGACTTCCATTCTTCTTTATTCTCAGTGATGGTATGAGTTATATGTATTATTTTGAATTCTGACATTAATATTGTATTAATTTCGAGGTGCATTAACTGAAAAAAAACATTCGCATGAAGGCCACATTAAACATTTTGACCTGGCCTAGAAGCAACAATGTAAATATTTCATCCAAATTCAAATTTCCATTGAGTAATTCATGACTACAATCTTGTAGGGGCTGACATAATTGAACAGTCCTCAAAAATGCAAATAAATGCCGGGCTGGATAAATAAAACACATTTTTGTCCGTGCTGCACTTTTAATGGGGCTTATAATATTTCCATCAAATTCACTTTTTTGTCCCTTGATTATTTATTTAGTTAAATCTGAAGCTACAATATTAAATCACAAAACCGCAGATTAAATGCTTCCGACAAGCCAGTTAATTATTTTTTTAGAACTTCAGAGTCCATTCATCATAATGTGCAAGCGTGCAAAAACCACCAACTCAAATTAATCGCAATTCTCTTTGTGAAAAAAAAAACACCCAACAACATCTATTATAAATTGGGCCTGCCGCTGCAACAATGGGGGCAAAATATACCGTGTAATTTGGTTAAAAGATGAACCCGAAGAAGCCAGAAAGCACGCACACACACACGTAAATATTTTTCTATCAACAAACGTAAGTGGATTACTGTATATGCCGTTAGAGCAACACGTGGATAATACACTACGCAGCATGGTCGATGTCAGGACATGCCTGTCAGCAGGGCTTCATTCAGCGATAAAGGGAACATTTTCTGCCTGCTCTGCAGGGTGGGATCGGAGTTGGGCGGGTGGGGGGTATAAATGCTCTGTCCTGCCTCATCTCCCTTTTTTTATATTGACGCGCTCCATGAGCTCACGCATTAGCGCTGTGGACCTGGCCTGTAAAGTGGAGAAACCGCACAAAAGGAACCGCCAACCACTCCGTCGTGCTGAGAAAAGTCACGAAATGTCACAATCGATTTGAACGCCACAACGTTGTGATTTTCTTCTTGATTTAACTCCAGTGTCTGGGCCAAATGAAGAGTAAAGAGATGTAGCAGGTACACTAAACCTGTTTGAATAAACCGATTCAAAAATAGAACAGTCCGTCTAAGATTTAGACCACATCTGGCATAAAGTCTCATTCATTCGAAACGAAAAAAAAGAGTGCATTCTTTTATTATAATTACATTTGTTTATGAGGCTTGTTTTACAAAAGAGAAGCCTCACTGCGATGTATATAATACCAATTGAGTTATCTGCGGGCACATTTTAACATTTTGGCAACTTTGGACCATGATGCCTGCAGACAGCAGCCTACTCTTGCGAATGACGCCAGAGGGTCATCAACGCCCTGTGTGAACCGAACGGCACGTATTATTAGGGCTAAGACATCAGCAGGAAAAAAAGTTGATTTTTCTAATTCAATTGACGTATCAAATTCGCATGTGTCAATTGACACCCAATGGACACGATAAAATAGACAGGAGGCTGCGATGTAAATATGGACAGTGGGAGCCCAAGGAGTGAGTCAACAGGAATTGAGAACTGCTCCTCTTCCAGCAGATCTTTAACGCATATGCACTTCCCCCACAACGACTCGGACGACACAGCAGAGAAGATACCGCAATTCTGTCTCGTACAAAGACAGCAGATTCCAAACATCTAAACAAACCAACACACAGAAGAAGGCATAGAGCACCACGTCTCCTGCGGTGGCATCCGTATGCCATGTGGACGTTGATCCACCAGTGCCTTGGAGCAAGGCTGCTGTGACAGATCATTACGACTAAGTATTCACTGCAGGTATGTGGTGCACCATGACATGTGAACTGTCAGCCAGGAGCAAACAATTCCACTTAATGGACTCTTGCCGGCAGAACATCATTGGCTCTGGGGTCCATTACGACCCAGGCAGTGTGTAGGTGTGCCCATACTATTCTGGGGAGCAGTAGAGTAGCAGTTAGCGTGCTGCGCTACGAACCCAGTGACCCGAGTTAGATTCCCGCTCATGGCCAACACCAGTGACTATTACCTGCGCCGGTTGTGGGCCTCCCATAGGTCGACTTGGCCTCAAATAAGTACCTGGTGTGGTGTTGTAAACACCGCTACTTGGGAGACAAAGGCGGCCGGGTGTGGTTTTGGCCACCTACCCCCTCGTGTCCCGTGCCGGCCTTCATCGGTGCTTACTAAAAGCACTTGCCCCTACAGTCTGTTCAGGCTATTATGGTTATCTTTGTAATATTCTGGTGTCTTTAAATGAATTCCCAGCACTTTGCCCCATCGGGGTTAAACCACAGGACAATAATAATAATTGGTGAAAGAGGCGCCCAGGACCAGTTCAGGTATCGCTCACTTACTAATGGATGTCAACCGAGACATAAATTGACATCGTGCTGCCAGGTTCACAATGTGACAGAGGCTCTGCTGCGGAGAAAACCACCGTGCATTGCGCCGTACATCCGAATTGTTGTTCAATTAAAATTAGCAACACTACACGTGTATACGTTGTTAGAATGTGAAAAAAATGGGATATGATGTGTTATAAAGTGAAACAATCGGCTCTATAATTACCTCCTGTGTTTAAGTGCCCAGAGAAAGGGAATGGACAAGAGAGTTTTGGTCGCTGAAAATCAACGTAAACTGAAACGCCGGCAACAAGCGGTTCAGGAATTAAAAACAAAACCCATCAACACTGCAAGCCATTGTGAATGATTATAATGCGATGCTGGAGACGTATGTATGTACGTTGAACTTCTTTTGCACCGTACGTAGCCAACCGTGGTAATCGGGGGGTGCGGGGAAAAGGACAACTAACAAACACAGACGTACCGGTCACGTACAGACACTGCCCAATGCCTAGGGGGGGGGGGGGGGAGAGGCTTGAATGATTCACCTGCTTGAGTAGGTCCTCGGTGTTGGCCAGCTCATTCTCCAGCTTGTCGTTGAGGTCATGTAGCGACGTAGCCTCTCTCTGGGCCCCCAGGTAACGCTTCTCGAGCGTGGTGATTCGCTCCTCCATGTCATCCTTCTGGGCCATTGCCTGCGCAGGTCACAGAGCAGCATTGAGTGTTCGATGGTGACCCCCCCAGGCTGGACTTCAACTTGACAGCTGTGGCACCCCTGTTAAGCACTAGCTGCTACAGCCCTGGTTATAGCCTGAGAAAGACATTTAAACAGTTCGCATTTGTGACCTGTGCACGTTAAAGATTACACGGTCGTGATGTCCATGCAAACGAACGTGGCACCGACGCCAGTGCTGAATGATACGGCAGTATTGCCCACGTTGAAGACAATATTACAAAAAAGTAACGACTTTGCAGGGCCTTTCCGTGGAAAGTCCCTGCAATATAGTAAGCTCTAGAGTGCCCTTCTAGACCTGATGTTGTGCCACTGCTCTAGAGCACGAGCTGTCATCAGCTGACCTCCCTGATGTCGCGCTGGTACTTGGTGTTCATCTCCTCGGACTTGATGAGGTCCCTCCTCGCCGTGTCCACGTCGTCCTCCAGCTCTCCGACGCGCGCCGACAGCGTGCCCAGGCGCTCCTTCATCTGCGCCACCTCCATGCTCCGCTTGTCCAGCAAATCCTGCAGCTCCAGCAGCCGCCCGGGCCCCTCGATGTCCCGCAGACCGGTGCCATTGGTCACCCGAGCCTGGAGTCCACAGAGGCGCACGCGTGAGTAAAAAAAAAAAAGACTCGACAAAGCACTCCGCGCGTCGTGACGGGTACCGCAAGATCCCGCCGTATCGGTCCGGTGGTCGCCGAGCTGCATTGGCTTCCAGTTGCCGAACAAGGTCGCACTCGTTAAACAAAGTGCTTGCCAAAGATAAACCACAATACCTTGCCGATCTCGTCAAGGAGCATAAACCCTCACGCGAACTCCGGTCATCCTCACAGGGCTTTTGGCTAGCCATTGAACAAAGCTAGCCACTGAACACCGCACAACACGCACTTTCAGACGCACTTCTGTGGCCGTCTGGAACGCTCTTCCTTCCAATGTTAGGAAGCCACTGGAGTTATGCACTTTTAAATCTAGATTGACAACTCAATCCTACAGAACTGATTTTTGTGTTAAGTTTGCTGCCCTTCCCCCACACCTCTGATTCGCATGGTTGGCCACGTACGGTGCGAAACAAATTCAACATACATAATGACACACTTGACTGGAGTAATTTTGAGGTTTAGTTTGGTCACGGCAAATTAGCGTTGCATAGCATTCGATATACACCCTACGTACATGTTCATAAGATACAAAATAAACCAACTTTGCTCTTTAAATTTGATCTTTAGATATGTTTACAAATAGGAGTGCCTTCATGCATATGAAGGGCTACAATGTTGTGCTTCTTTCAATGTTGTGCTTCTATTTGCATTTAAAATCGATGGTGTAGGTATCGGGGATCAAGAGGATGTTGAACATCTGAGTCAGCACGACTGAGATCTTTGGTTTTAATCCCAAAAAGCCATGCGTGATTGAACCAGGTTCTCTCCTCATTTGCCCTGTTATTATAAGCTCATCAAGCAGTAGAAATAATGTATTGTTGTCATGTGCTGCCATTCTGGAAAAAGGGAGAAGCAGTGGCGCAGTAGATCTTTACTTCCCCGTTAACTGATTTATATGTCACCTGATGCTCAGGCAGAGGTGGCACAGCAGGCAATTAATCCAACAACCCGAGTTCAATTCCCAGCCATGACTAACATCAGTGACGAGAAATATCTCAACTGGTTCTGGTCCCTCCCTCTCTTTACTCGCCCACAACAAACTAAACACAAAAAGGCAGTTCTAAAGAAGCGAGTTTTCAATCTAGACTTAAAAGTACACAAGCTCCAGTGGCTTCCTAATAGCGGAAGGAAGAGCGTTCCAGACGGCTGCAGAAGCGCATCCAAAAGTGCGCGGTCTATTGCACGCGGTTATTACAATGAGCGGCAGTTGGGATCAAAAGCTCAAGAAAAATAAATCAATGCGGTAACGGCAGAAGTGGAATGACTGCGATTCCTGGATTATGCAATTAATCCGCACGTCACGGAACGATACCCAGGATGAGGCCTCCTCCAGTCTTGCAGGATGACCACTCATCACATTGACCATGGCCAAGTTTTCAAGTGCACCCGAGTGGACAGATCAGCACTGATACCAGACCAACAGTGGCGTTTCTCTTCTCACTTTATGGACCTCAAAAATTAGTGAAAAGACAGCGACAAAACTTACAGATTTTTCATTATGAAGTAAAAAAAAACAGATTCCCACCCCCCCCCTTCCCCCAGCCCATCTTAAAAGAAGCGTTTGACACACTTTCCAGTTGAGACTTATTAAAGTGTCATCGGCGAGAATTAAGTTTCTCTTATTTTAAACCACTCGAGGAACACGCTTTAAACTGTGACATGTTAGGTGTGCGGGAACACATTTGGAAGCTGTTGGGGCAAGTAGCCATGGGGGCTCATGTCAAGTAGCCAAGGGGCCGTGGGGCTATTAACAGAAAGGACGCAGCATATTGCTTGTGCCATCTGTTCAAAAGTTGGGGGCATGTGGGGAGGAGGGGGGGGAGAGGGGACAGCAGCTGGCTGCCATCTTCTTCATATTTTCATGTCCATGCATGAAGCAATTAATTTAACGATACTTGTAAAATGCATTTGTGCTCCAGCGTGGCTTCCGAATGTAGGGTTGTCATTCGACCAGGCCGTCCCACCTTTGCGTGCGAGGTGAGGGGTCGCAGCTCTGCGGAGTTCTGCGTTGGCGGAGTCTCCATCTCCGTGGCGTCCTCGGAGCCGTCCCCGGCCCTGCGCTGGGCATGAGCCGCCTGCTCTCGCAGCAGCATGAGCTGTGGGGACACACGCACAATGTCAACACAAGCCAAACTACCGCGCGCACCCTAAGAGTGAGCGTTCAAGTTTGTTTAACCAGGTGAGAACCCAAGAGGCCAGGATAGCCTCATTTGCAAGAATGCCCTGGGTGGGCATTAGCCTGCCAGTCGGGGGAAATTCTTGCTGTGTATGGCCCCAACTGAGTAATTTGCAGTGTAACATTCGAATGTGGAAAATTTGGGCACCGACACCAGCACACAATGGCCTCCTCTTGCGAATGACGTCAGGGTATCTATAATTTCCATCATGGTTCGCACGATTGACCACGATTAGCCAACTGTGCACCTCTGATTTGCACGGTTGGTTATGTACGGTGTGAAAGAAGTTCACCATACATACGTGGTTATTACATCTGGAGTAGTAATAATAATAAAAAAGAGTGACTACTGGATTTGAATGGCGAGCCTCTGCAACAAGTGGCAAACATGCTACCGCTGGGCCGCGTCACTGCCCCAACTCGTGTTGGTTCCATTTCGAACATGGGTCGGGGCTTAACCAGGCCCATTCTCTTCCTAACCTCAGAATCATTCGTACCATTTCGTGGGAAATACACTGTGTTCATCCTGTAGGAAGAGTGGTCACTTTTCATTTGAATGTAGAGTTTCCATCACTTGCTCGGGGCTACCGACGGTCATATGCGTCAATCCATCGCTAAATTTGAACAAGTAGACACTGTGGCTTTTGGCTGTTAAAATAAAAATGAATGTGTTGCTGAGCTTAAATGTTTTTTTAATGGTGTTTATCTACATTGGTGGTCTATAGCCAGTGGAGATCATTGCACATTTCTATGGCAGCTGCTCGCATGTTGAAAAGGCAACCAATGTTGACTTCTTACCGAGTAGTGCAGCTTGCAGGGAGTATGGGCCGAGTTTACCAGAGCTAAGATATATACTCACAGCATCATCATTGAAAGTCCTGCCGCTCCAGCAACCGAGCTAGAAATATGAGACTAATGGCAATGGTCACTGACATACAATATTTTCTCATGCCATTTGGCTGTTCGTCACTAGCGCTCAGGTCACAGCATTTAAACATCTGCTGTTAAAATGTGTACAGAATTTAGCAAATAAATGCTTAATAATACACCGGGGATGGCTGCTGATCGCATTTAAAATGCGCTCCCCATTATTTGCAATAAATGAATTCGAATGCCCATAAGCTGTGACAAATAGCCCGGTGCCAAGCCCTAGGCTATTAAAACAGCACCGCCGCCGCTAAGAATGAAGGACCGCGTGAGGGAATAAGAGTGACGGGAGAATAATCAGAGTGCACACGGGAGCGAGCGTGAGCAACGGGAAAGATTGAAATCCTGAAACGTTTCGACATCACACTGGCGAAAAAGATTCCGGCAAATAGAAGTAATTCCATGGTCTGATTTCACCATCGCTGCATCACTCCGACACACCGCCCTCTGTGCCTCAGAAATCCAGGAAACCTACACCCACAAATCTGTTTTAAATACCTGCAGGGAAAAAAAAGTGAAACTATTTAACGCTTATTATCATTGCGTGTGATGACACTGCACTAATACTCCATTTTTATGGACTAATAAAAGTTAAAACTTTCACATTATTTTAATGATCGTGTTGCCCATTTTGCTTTTGGCACCTCAGTTCACAATGGCACCTGAAGGAAATTATTTCCAATTATAATACTGTCATAATTTATGTTGGCTCCATGGCTTACAACACCTAAGTCGCTTTGGTATTTACTACACACCAGATTATGCTAATGTTTACTCAGCCCATTTCAATGCTCAGCCGTCAGAACGGATGGCTAAACAGGCATGTATCCTGCATTTCTGCCCAGAAACATAGATCCACAGGTGTATATGAAATTACACACCTGATTTCACCCAGCAGGACAATGGTTAGCACACTGCAATGGGGAACCTGGCGAACTAAGTTGAATTCCCGACCATAGCTAATATCGGCCGCAATCCATACATGAACTAGCCCTACCCCTAGCTTCCCACTTCTCCAACTCGCATTGACCAGTGTGGTGAAGTATGATCATAAAAAAAAAACAGAACCCATGACCAACACACGGAATGCCTTCATCTGGTAGTGGATCCAAAAATGGCACCAATCATTTTATTATACTTTGTTATGCAATAGAATGAACACAAATAGCAAGTGGTTTTACTAGGGAGAGTAAAATATCAAGCACATGTGCGCGCATGTTCTTGGTGTGCGTAGGAGTGTGTGTGTGTGTGTGCAGGCGTGTGTATAAAGGTCAATGTCAGCACGACTGCGACCACAGCCCATGAGCCAGTAGCTCTGCAATGCTCCACAACCCAATGACAATGAGGTCCGCTCCCATGGAGCAATCCATGCACAGAATGGACCCAAGGGAGGGGGGGGGGGCCCTCACAGTGGGAACCCGCGAGCCCCCACGCTTTGGCCCGTGGCTTCAAAAGGTTTTGCGCTCACATTCACCAGATTTCTCCAGGTGACGCCGCTCCACGGCGTTGAGACAACAGCAACAACAAAAAAACCACACCTCCTCCACCGCCGCCGCCGTCGTCGTCATTAAGGTCCTTCAATACAGTTCACGGGCACACACAGCCTCATGACGTGGGACGCGAGGATGCGCCTCAATGTTCTCTCATTTTCCATCGCTCCGTGGAATCACCGGTTTTATCACAAACTCAATTTACCAAACACCGGGTCCTCTGCGTAGGTGGCTTACGTCACGCTGTGCAACCGTAGGTGGAGGCTGCCGTCTTACCAACAGACAACTCTGCACGCAACCCCAGGCCACCTCCTGGGTGTGCCCAAAGCAAATATTCTTATACGTCAGCTCATGCTTGGAAGATTTCCCGAGTGAATGGCCAATCGTTGTCGCATGACCAGCTGCCGGAGATGCTGCGTGGCTTTTGGTGAAAGTCTTTGAGTTATATTTTTGGGGTAGACTGCCCAATCCAGCCTAAGCATAACGGTTAACGGAATGTCCTTTGCGCTGACACACGACTGAACTGGAAACTCTCCAGCTGCGACAATGGCTGCGAAGCATCTCCACACTACGCTTGCTTCCGCCGGTGAATATGTAGTGGCTACCAAAGAATCACGCAGTAGAAGCACTGCAACTGGGCACTGTTTGGCTTCTTCGGAACTTTACTGAGTAACATGTCTACATACATCAGAAACACGTCGACACGGTAGTTTACATCGTCCACTTTTGGACACCTTATTGTGGGCAAAGTCAGGAACAATGCTCAATTACATTAAATGCAGGCTTTGTTCTCTCGTTTGCGATGAAGTGATTCAACCCGACGAAAGAGACGCACACAGAGCGAATTTATGTCCGCACAAAGAGCATTTAATAAGAGCATTGCTAAACTTAGCATTAGATCAAACAACACATCAATCGATTGGCGGTGACCCGGGTCACCATCGTGACCCGGGGGAGCCAAAACCTCCATAACTCCAAAACCAGAAGGCCTATGAAGACGGGAGATGTCACTGAGCCCGATACGCACGCCAAATATGGAAATAAAAAACACGCAAAACAGCCATAAAAAAGGGGGGCTGCTGGGGATTTGTGCGTGGCAACGGCTGTTTATTGCTTGTATTTGAAAGTACATCAGGATGCTGGTCTGGTCATGCCCCAGCACGTTTTGCTTCTTACGGGGGCGGCCACCCCCCTTGTCTTTGGGAGCGAGACCACTTGGAGGCAATGGCGCACCAGGCGCTCTCTTGGTACGGCCGGCGGTCATGGTTGTGCTGGCGGGATCGACATCGTCCTCATCATCGCTCCCATCATCGCTCCCATCATCGCTCCCATCATCGCTCCCAGCGTCGCCCTCCGGCAGGACAGGGTGGTAGTACCAGCGATGCTCCCAGAAAAAAAACCTTAAACTATGCCCGGCCCACCAATATTTTGCGGTGACCCGGGCTACCACCAATCGATTCACATGGCAATAGCAGAACAGGCACCTGCGGGCCAATTGTATTGCTGTTTTGGATCTCGGTACCAGCTGTTTAATCACTGTTAACGTTTACATCTGTTGTGTATCTCTTTTGCCTACCCCTGCAGTCATCTCGCATAATGCCTGGCCAGATGGTGAAAACAGTCCAACTTTTTTGCCACGTTATAAGCAATAGTTCCTGAACAGATGTCATACAGAATCTAATGATCGCTACAGTCTTAATTCATTGTAGTTTCATATTACAAATACACAAGTGACCGTAATTGAAGTAACTTTGTCAATGCACTGCTGGATGAGGGCCTCCCTGTGTGTCTTGGTCATTGGGGTTGTTTGACCATACTTCACCTTGCCGGTCAGTGACGGTTGGTGAAGGAGGAATTAACGACCGGTTCGGATGTCTCTCGTCACCGATGTTAGCCGTGGCCAGCAATCCAACTCGGGTGGTTGGACTTAGTGCTGTGTAATAACCACTTCACCAATACCATAAAACAAAAACCCGAATTAGAGTTTGTAATTAATATTTTTTACAAGTAAATGCATACCTCTGCCCATATATTTGCAGAGGTGAAAATTCAAAATTATCTTGGTGAGGTCAAGTCCATCCGCAGGACAACCGCTGTGAACGTCTCACAATGTAGTCTTCATTCTAACTCGGTGCTGAGTGGACCCCCGACTGGAACGCAAAATTAAAACCATTCAATTGCGAGGAAGGCACGGTGCTATGGTGCCATCCTGCCGGCATTATGTCCATTACACAACTATGTTATTGCATGAATTATTGTATGAAAATGGTTTGTTCACTGGTGCTGGAACTCTAAGCAAGCAATGAATTACATCACAAAACAAACTCCGCCATAGATGTACCGTGCCGAACGTTAACGGCGCATCATAAAGAGCAATGCAGCAAATGTCGGCGCAGTAAATCGTTACGAGTCAATCTTTATTTTCTTGGGGCCACGTGATGTTCTAACAGTGGTCTACCAAGGTATACAACCGGGGTTGCCACCTCTGAGTGATGAAAACATC